GGAGGAAAACATGGAATACATTTGGTTCTCCCTGTGCATTTTGACAACATTTTAAAAGGCATCAGGATAATGTTTTCATGCATTATGTAGCTAGAAGAATGAAAAACCCCATCACAAGATATGAAATTACGAGGCTTTCTTAAAGTGACATAAATCAAGCCCATTTGACATTACCACTTCAAGCACTTATGTTGTAGGCACCAGGCAGAGTATGCAAATATGTGTTGCTTCCTTGTGGCAGAGAGGGGGAAGCTCAAATGGAATGATTCAGAATGCAGCTCCATCTGATACTCAAAGATGTTAAAACACACTTCTCTTCAGAGACCCAAGACAATGTTTTGGGCTATTTTAACTGCCAATGACCATAATAGCTTCATGGCATTTTATTGATCTGAGGATTTAATATCTTTGTGTAATGGAGTATAGACCATGAGAGATGTTTATAACCCCGGCACCTCTCCCACCAGCTAGGAATGCGCACTTGGCTGTGTGTAATACTACCATAATTCCCCTGTGGCTCTCTACACATCCTATCTGGGAAGTGATGCTACTATGATTTGTAACACTGTCAGTGACTGGGGTGGAATTATCTTTATGCAGTTGTACATTGATTGTTTCTAATCTGCTTTGTTAAAATTTTAGTGTTAAAGAGCATCACTTTCTTGCTTTATTGTTATTTGTTTGTTTCAAAAAGTGAAAGTATCGATTTGATTCTTGAAAACATTTTTTACTGGTAGCTTTACTGTTTCGTAAGTCCAGTTCATAAAACTGTTTTAGAAGTTTGTGTTTTCTTAATAGAATATAAAGTACAAAAGCCAAATGGTTTTGATAAAAATATTGAGATGTATATTCTCTGATTTTGTTTTCAAGATTATCTTGGTCTGAATATTCTCTATATTTTTGTTCTTTGATCATAAATGCATGACTGAACATTAGTCTAAGGCTGTGTTTGGGTTGTGACATTGCTATATCAAGAAATAAGAAGATCTTTATCTTTAAATAAATTTTAATAATAAAAAGTGGAGAAGTAAAGTATCAGAATGCCCCTTCTGTTAGTCAATGTTCTATTAACATTAAATACACAGATTACTTCTGTTGTCTTTCATGTCCAGAAAGTCATTAACTCAATCTTCTCTCAGCACTTTGTTTAACAATAAACAAAAACTAAATTCAGTTCTGCTTGTGGACATTTATATGGGTGCTTGCATATGTGTGTGAATGTTTGTGTGTCTGCATGTTTTTAAGTGCATGATTGTGTATGTTTGTGTGCTTATGGGGCTTGTATGTATTTGCATATGTGCTATGTGGATATGTGTTTCTATACAAACAGGAGCAGCTTGTGAATTTTGTTAATTTTCAAGTAAACATAAATTCACCAAGCACACACACATATATATATCCCTGACATTTTCTTAGACACATGGGATGTGAAACAGTACAAAACTACCATGGAAGTTAAAGTTGTCAGAGCTGAGCAAGAAGATATAGTTTGCACACAAAGAACAATGGAGAAATAGAGCGCTTTATTTTATGAACAAAGTGCTCAAGAGATGAGAAGAATTTTTATGTTCAGAGAAATTATAGACAATAGAGAAAAATAGTTTTGTTTATGTTACCTTGGAGTTTACATAGAATTTTACATTTTGGAAAATGAGCGGGGAGGAATATTAGATATGGAAACTTAGGAGAGTGAACAGAAAACAGGAGCTGTGACATTGCATGCTGAGCTGGGAGAATGGTAATTTAAATGACTTGAGCAGAGAAAACACAAAAGAGAGGCAAGTAAGGTCACCTGACTGCCTTCCAATGGACAGGGGAACGTAGCAGAGATAAAGGTGGGCGATGGCATCCAGTTGCCTAGCTGAGGTTTTGTCTGAGTGACTTAACCTCTCTGGATACTGGTTCCTTCTTATGAGAGTAACTAGAGAAAAGGTTCATTGAAATACAAGGATACACTTAATACAATGGGTGACGTTGTCCTTTAGGTGATGACATATATATCAGGCTACTTGCTATTGTGTGCTTGGACTGGAGATTCCTAGTGTTTACTGCTGGAAGTTTCAGAGCTGCTACGTGACAGGAGTTGTGTTAACAGCACAGCACGCCGTTCAGGCTTCACAATAGTCCTTTGACATCGTTCCTATTATTAGCCCCTCTCAGAGATGAGGAAACATCTTTGGGAGGTCACAGAGAGGAGCAGGGCCACACCCAGCGCTGCCTGGCTCTGCAAGCTGGCCGCCACCCCATCTCTCAGGAAAAGGATGCTGGGAAGAAGGAAACTTAGTGGGAGTTTGCACTCGAATAATGAAGATTTGGAATAATATGGCAAAAAGGTTTGAAAACAGTGGTTTCTTTTATCGGCAATAGAAAAACACGACATCTTTTTCTTGGAAAAGAGGCATCATTCATTCGTCACTTCATTAATTTAAGAGCTACATATTTAACTCAGTAGAAAGTGCTCACCATGTTGCTCTTGGAGTACAAATCTCTCAGATCTGCTCCACACTGACATTCTTGACTCCTGACTTTCGGTGCTTCTTGTTTGTTTGCTTTTCAGACAGGGTCTGACTGTGTAGCTCAGGCTGGCCTTGAACCCCTGAGCCTCTTTCCCCAGCCTCCTGAGTGCTGCGATTACAGGTGTGGGATTCCATATCAGGTTCTGACTTTAATTTTATTATTCTTTGCAGCCCAAGCTACTATGTGTGTACGAGACACTGTGCTAGCCACTAAGGAGAGAATACTGAGCAAAAGCAGATGCACCTCTGCCTTTGTGCATCTGGTAGTTTAATGTACCGTGCATTTGCCTGGGTGTGATTAATAAGTATACAGCGATAACTTTGTCACTGTGATAAGTGCTAAGAAAGTGAGATCCAATCTGATATGAGATCAGATAATAAGAGACCTCACCCCAAACAAAGAGGTAGGAAATATTTTTATGGCAGGAAATGTTCCTTTAAAAGAGAGCTGAGAGACAAGCAGTGTTGCCTAGGCAAAGATGAGGAAGGGAGAGGAATAGCACCCACACCGTCCCTGGGAAGAGAGGCAGAGCAGCCAAGTTTGAGGGGGGTGAAACTAGGTACCTGGGCTAACTAGAGGACACAGGTGTGAAGATCATTTGCTGTGGTTTAGAACTGGAAAGAACCCCACATGCTCATGTGCTTAGAGGGGGGCTTTGGAGGGGGCAGATTCACAGCGTCACTGTCCTTGTTAGTGGATTCACCCTTGGGTGAGTTGAGTGGTTTTGAGTATCAGGAGGTGGGTTTGGTTGGAAGAGGCCGGTCACCAGGGTGTGACCCGGGCGGCTGCATCTCTCTCAAGGCTCCCTCCTTCTGTCTCTGCAGCTGCCCTTCTGCCATGCTGCTTCTGTTTTGATCCTGCTCACAGCACACTGTAAATGTGAACCCAGATAAACCTCTCCTTACAACGCAGGCATTTTGTCCCACTGATGAAGAAAGTGATAAATACAACTGTCCAACCAAAATATAATGGCAGACACATGTGTGATGCAAAATGTTACAGTGACCACGCTGAAAAAAAAGAATTAATTTTATTATTTTATTTGACCCAGTTACTCAAGTATTATTATTAGAACATATACTCAGTTAAAAGTGTATTGATAGTTTACTTTGCTTGTCTTATACTCTTTGAAATTTGATATGCAGTTTGAACCTACAGCCCAGCTCCTGTAGGACACTAACTTTTCAAAGAGAATGGCTGACTACATTTAAATTTTATGAAGTTTATAGGTGAAAACTGCAAATTCAAATATGCAAGCTGTTCCAAACAAAACTTGAAAGTTTTTCCATATCTGCATTAAGCACCACCTTTTAATTTTAAATTTAAGTTACATAAAATAGAACAAAACTTAAAATTCAATTCCTCAGTCACAGAGTTCATGTCCCAAGTGAGTCCCAAGTTAGGCTGGTGGATACCCTGCTGGACAGGGCAGAATGAAAGGCTCAGACCATGGGCAAATCGTGCAGACCTCGTGAAGGATCTACTTCGTTCCGATTCTGTCTCTATTCCAGAAGAACACCACTGAGCAGAACAAATCAAGAGATGTCACACAGACTTGAGCTTTCCACAGATTACTGTTACCAGTGTGGAGAATCTTTGATCAAGCAGAAAGCTGTTGCTGATTCTTCAACCCAAGTCCTGCTAATTTGGGCAGAGTGCTGTTGTTGGAGATAGACAGAAGTGCATGGTTTAAGGAACAAAATCCAGAGCATTTTTGATTAAATTGAAACACAAGAAGACATGGAAAGAAGGCCAGTGTTGCAGTCTATTTCTGCATTACAGGTGGATCAAAAATTGAGATAAAGCTCTGTGGGAACAGCTCTACATGGCGAAGAGTGAGTGGACAGAAGCAGCTTGGATTGATGCAGGGAGAGACATTTGGAGACATCTTTGTTCTTGTCCAGGGATAACTCAGAAGCTTAGGCTTCATTAAGCTGCCCACAAAAATGACTATATATGACATTTACAGAGAGTTGAGGCTTCTTTCTTTAAATTATATATTGCTTGTGCACAATAAAATTATGTGTTATCGGGTCTATTTTTTTATATTTTACTTTGAGACAGGGTCTTGCTAAGTCTCTAAACTGTGCCAGCTGGGCTTGAATTTGCCATCCTCCTGGCTCAGCCCCTCAGAGTCCTGGAACTACATCTGTGTGCCATTGTGTCTGGCATGAAAACTTCTTTGAGTAATAAAAACTTCTCACATCTTTAAAAGAAGAGTCAAAGTTTAGTTACTTAAAATATACACATCACTTTGATATAAAATACCATGTATTTTATAAATATTGTATTTACAAATATTAGGATAAGAACATTTATAACATAATGAATATGCTGACTTTTAATGTTCATTTTGAGAAGGGGTATCACAAGATGAAGAGACAGAAAGTTACACGCTAAAGTACCTAAATCAGGCACCACCTCTATGTCTGTTTCCTTTCCATTTAAAAAAATTCACTGCTGTTTTTTGTTTTGCTTTTGGCTTTATTTTCTTTTACAGTTTGACTTCAACGCTTTGTTCTTTTTCTGTTTGTTTTTTCCTCTTGAACATACCTCTGTTTCTTTTAGGGTTGGAATATCATTGAATCTCATGAAACTTATCCATATCTGATGAGTTTTTCACTGGAGATGCTAGCTATTGAACAATACACGCTGTAGAAAGATGATTGCCTACTTGCATTAGTGATCAAAGCAAGAAAAGGTCAAGTGAGATCTTGTACTGATTTGCTTGTAAATAAATTGATGTTCTTCAATGTTGTTTGGTTTGAGTTATTCTGTGAGCACCCTTTGCAATGTTCCTGAAATTTGAGCAATGCATTAATTTCTGTCTGAAAGAAAGAAAGAAAATTAATTTCTGTCTAAAAGAATAGACCACTTGCTTTCAGTTATTTTAAATATGATAACTGGAATGATTTTTTGGTCAAACAAATTCACAATAGGTCAGTTATCATTAATATATAAAGTAGTATTAAATTTAAATCCAGCACACTGTGTCTTCCCTCTACAAACAATACTTTAGTGTTGTTTTAATGAGGGGTTACTTAGAAGTCTATCAAACTGTTTTCATTTGAAGATTAAATTCCCATATAATTTTATTGAAATTTGTATTAAATTGATGTGTAATCCAATTACTTATGGAATCAAGAACTGGAAAATAGTATGAAGTTGGTTTTAACTCGAGATAATGAGAAGAAAATTATATTTTGAATAAATTACACCACTGGATTCCACAGATATTATTAAATATTGGAAATATGAAGTGGATCACAGTATACAGTGATATATTTCAATTAAATTATTATAGTACAAGACAGATTGCCATTAGTCCCCCTCAAAACACTCCACCTTGCTTTCAACGAAGTCCATCATTCCCGCCACTTTCTGAAGCAGTTCTGGAAGTCTTCCTTCAAGAATATCTTCATAGGTGAGATAAAAAATATGCAAATGCTGTTGCTGAATACCCAAGAGAAAGGCAGGCTGGTCCGACTCTATTGCAGGTGAGTGCTCACTCACTTATTCACCAGCTTCACCACCGTGCAACTTCTGGCTGTTCCCCCAGCTGAAAATGGCCATGAAAGGTAAATGTTTTGAATCTATCCAGAACGCAAAGGCAGCCACAGTAACAAAGGTAAAGACACTCCTGAGAGCAGGCTTCCAGACTGCTACAAGATGTGGCAAGAGCAAGGTGATAAATGTGAAGGGAAAGGAATTATTTTGAGTTGGATTAAGTGCAATGTGTCTTTTCCTTTAATACATTTTTAAAAATTTAAAAATTCATCCCATTTTTAAAGCTTACACCTCATAAACCCTCTCATGTTTTGGATGAGGACTATTTAAACCCCATGAGGCTATTCTTTGTTATTTGACCCTTTTCTTAGTTAGAACATTTTATTTTAGGGTTATGCCACTCTTCTGTCATCTGCAAGGATAAAGGTAGTGTCTCGTACTCCTGGGCATTGTCATTCTTGCCATGTAGAATCAAAAGTCCTAGTTAATTTAAAACATTTAAAAATTAAATTTTTATATGGTGGAAATATTTTAAATGTTAGTTACTCATGTAGAAGACTCATTTTATATTTATATCCAGTAAAATGATTCAGTATAAGAACAATAATTTAGATCAAACTGCTACTGGCTCCCAGGTATACAGCAGAATTTAAACTTTCCTATGATCAATTGGCACAAATACTGTTGTAAATATGCAAGTGTGCGTACCACAATCTTGTGGTAAAACAAGTTTAGAAGGTGATATTCTAAATAAGTTAGAATAAGTACCGTAACTTTTAATTTAGAAGATTTAGATTTACGGAAAAATTTCAGAGCTAACAGTCTGTTCATGTATACTCCATACTCACTCGTTTTTGGCAACTTACATTAGTGAGGTGATATTGTCACAATCAATGAACCACACTTTATTTAGATTTTCTCCATTTTACCTAATGTTTTCTGCTCCAGGATTCCGTCCAGGATCTCTCAATACATTTCATTGTCTTGCCTCATGCTCATTTTGGTCCTAGCAGTTTCCCCACCTTTCTGTTTTTGATGATTGTGACAATTTGAAGAAGTACTGATCATGTGTTGTGGAGCGAGTCCCTCTGCTGGGATTGGTCTGAGGCTTTGCTCTTGACTGAACTGTACTTATGCGTTTTAGGTAGTTAGATCATAAAGGTAAAGTGTTCTTCCCATCACAAAGAGGAGCCACAACGTCAAGTTGACAGCACTGTTGAGGTTAACATTGAGGTCATGCTTGTCAGATTTCTCCAGTGTAAAGTTACCCGAGTCTCAGTTTCTCTGTGATTCACTGGAAGGGAGTTGTGTGCAGCCCACAGTCAAGGGCTGAGCACTGTGGCCACTTCCCTGAACACAAATCATTTGGAGTCCTTGTGCACGAGAGACTTTTGGCTTCTTCCCCACTTACCTTTTCTTTATTCAGTCGTGTATTTTCTGAGTATGGATGCACAGATATTTGTGTTCATCCAACAGTGTCTTAATGGTCTTGCTGTTTGCAGTTTCCTAGGTTGTCCATTAGAATCTCTCAGCTGGCTCCTGTGTCCTTCACAGGCCTCATCATTATTATTTTTACTCTTCATTTTCTTATTTTTGACACAAAAGGTCCTTCAAGCTAGTTTTGATATCTCCTTTCTCAAATTTAGAATAGCCACTTCTCCCAAGAGCTTGGAGTGCCTTTTTTGTAGAACAGTATTAAAACCATGACCTGCATCTGCATGTGTTCATTGCCACTGGGATAAGTTGTTTCTATGTCTTTTTAGGGACAGTGGAAAAAGAAAGACAATATTCTATGGAAATGGAATCCAACTGCAAGCAAGAGTAGCTATAATTACATGTGGCAAAGTAGACTTCAAGACAAAGTTAGACAGATAAGGAAGATAACTCTGGATTGGTAAAGGAAACACTCTTCCTAGAAGATACAGTGACTGTAAACATGTAAACTAAAATTGCTGTACTTAATTTCATAAAACTCAGTGGAAAGGAAAGTTTAGGTTCCAATTAAATAATAGTGGCAACTTTAATACTTCAGTCATACATATAAATAGATCATCAAGACAAATAAATCAACCAAAACCTTTAGAATTAAACTACACCATAGACCAAATGGACTTACAGATATCTCCAGAACATTCCATCCAACAACCACAGAATAAACATTCCTCTCAGCTGGTCATTGAACAGTCTCCAAAATAGATCATATTTTAGGTCATAGAGCAAACTTCAACAAATTAAAAAACTTTTTGCCTGTCTGCCATCATAATGTAATGAAATTAGATGCCCACAACAAGAAAACCAAAGAAACTACCCAAATATACATGAGAGAAATAATAAAGTTAAGAGAATAAATTAATGAAATAGAGAAGAAAAGAACAATAATAGCCTCAATAAAACAAGGAACTGATTCATTGAAAAGATTAACAAGCCTAGCAAATCCTTAGGAAACTGATCAAAAGAGAAAAAAGGCCCAAATCAGTACAATCAGTGATGGAAAAGTGGATGTGAAAACAGATACCACTGATAACAAGAGGATTATTAGAGGCTTCTTTGTAAACCTATACTCTAATAAACTAGAGAATCTAGAATAAATTGATAAACTTCTTGACACACTCAAAAGTGAACCAAGATTATATATATTATATATATAATATATGTCCCTAAATTGAAAAATAACAAGGAATGACATTGAGGTGGTAATAAAAAGTATCTCAACAAAGCAAAGCTCAGATGGGTGCACAGCTGAATTTTAGAAAACCTTTAGAAAGGAAAAAACATCAAAGCTTCTTCAAACTGCCCCATAAAATGGAAGGAAAAGAAATGCTTCCAACCTCACTTTGATACTAATATTGGAGAAGGACACAACAAAAAAGAAAACTATAGTTCCATATCCTTAATAAACATAGATGCAAAAATCCTTAATAAAATACTGTCAAACTGAATTCAACAATATGTTTTAAAAAATCATACATCATGATCAAGCAAGATCCAGAGATGCAGGGAGTGTTCAGTATACACACATGAATAAATGTATTGCATCATATAAACAGAATCAAGGGTAAAAATCACATGATCTTTTCATTTGATACTGAAAAAGTCTTCAACATAATTCATTCTGCCTTTATGATAAAAGTTCTAAAGAAACTAGGTCCTGAAGGATCATCTCTCAATGTAGTAAAAGTCATTGCCAAATCATTCTGAATTGGGAAAACCTGAAAACATTTCCTCTCAAATCAGGAAGGTGGTAATGATGTCCCAAATTCACCACTCTTATTCAGTATAGTTCTTGAAATTTTAGCTAAGGCGTTAGGCAAGATTAAAAAGAGAAGGGATACAAAAAAGGAAAAGAAGTCAAATTATCCTTGTGTGAATACAATATGATCCTATACTTAGAAGACCCAAAGGAATCTATCAGAAAAATTTTAGAGTTTATAAATAAATTTAAAAATATTACAGAATTTAAAAATCAGTAGCTTCACTATACACCATGAATGGGTAGAAAAGAAATCAGTAAAAAATATCCCATTCAACAAAAGCTTGAAATAAAATAAAAACCTAGGTATCAATCTACCCAAGAAAGTGAAGTTCGCCTGTAATAAAGATTTCAGAATACAGAAGACACTGAGGAAGACACATGTTATGGTTTATACCTAGGTGTCCCCCAAAGCCTCTGTTCCGTTAGATAGGGCTCTGGGAGGTGGTTGGATGACAAGTGTGTGATACTTATCAGGGCATCACTCCACGTTGAGGCTGTAGCTAAGTGTGATGCTGACAGATGAAAGCTGGTTGGAGGAGGTGGGTCATTGAGGTGTGGCCTGGAAGGTAAATCTCCCTCCCATCTCACTTTATCTCTCTCGTTGCTTCCTCCCTCCCATGCCATTTACTATTCTCCTCTGCTATTACCCACCCCCACCCCTTCAAGCCACCTTGCCTTGGGGCCAGCAGATTACATCCAGCATCTGAGGCAGCCTGTGGCAAGATGTGAATTCTAAATAGCCTAGATGGCCTCATTCTTACACATGAAAGTAGCTCCCATAGCTTCTTTCTTGGGCCATCTCTGCTCACTTCTTGTGATTTTCCTTAGATGATACAAGTTCCTGGGTTTTCTAATGTTCTCAGTTCTCCACTGCACCTTTGGCTTCACATTCACAGGTTTACAAAATATCCTGCTGCCTGGCCTTCCAGGCCTTCTTTTGAAATCTGGTTGTATGCCATTTTGATCTCACAACCCTTGCATTCTGCATGCATCTAAAACCAGCACCACGTGGATGATGCCAAGGTCTCTCATCAGCTACAGCATTAGCCATGCATCCTTCTCTCTTGGCCTGGATTGCTGAGTGCTCAATCCAAACCTGAGAAATAATTTCCCTAGGCCACCACCATCCCAGAAGATGGTGCTCTGGAGCTCTCTTCTCAAAAAAAGCCTTTCAAATACTCTCACCCATACAATTTAAATGCTACAAAGGCTGCTGCTTCTTGATGTCCTCATGCCATGCCATCTTTTTATTATCCTGTTCCTTCTCAGCAACTAAGTTGTCCTCTACTCTCTCTTTGCAGTCTGCAGGTTTTCTACAGCTTCCTTACTGGCCAACTAAAAACATTTTAAATCATTTTCTGGGCTCTTTGCTCTTGATTATCAACATAGATCTGGCTAAAAGCCCCCAACAGTAGTCATGCCGATACCTCAACACTGGATTGCCTTGAAACTTTTTCTAACATATTAATTAGTCCATGGCTTTGAATCTTAGTCTCAGACAAAGTTTCTGGACATGAACAAAATACAAACAAATTTTCTGCCAAAAGATAACACACATGGTCTGGAGTCAAACAGCAGATGTTTCTTTTTCCAGGAGAAACCTCCTGAGTCTGGTCTTTACCTGTTACCTTTCTATCAGCATTCTGGTCTTTTGAGCTCTGACAAGAATCTCCCATAAAGTACAGCTCACAGTATTTCAGGGATGCTTCTTTAACCATCATCTCCAAATCTTTCCAAAAGCTTCCCACAAGCCCGTTCTCAAGGCTCCTGAACTACATGGTCAGATAGTGTCACCTTAATAGCCCCAATCCTGAGACAAAAGTCTGTCCTGGTTACTTTTCTCATTACTGAGACAAAATACCTGACATCCAAAGTTAAAGGGAAAAGTTTATTTCAGCTCACAGTTTGTGGAGACTTCAGTCCATAGTTGGCTGACTTCAAGGCAGGGCGGCATGGCAGACAGGCATAACAGAGGAGAAGCAGTCTATGGTGTGGCAAAAAGCAGCATTCAAATGTAGCAGCACAAGCAGAGCAGTGGGTTCTTTCTATTCTGGTTGTAAACTTATTGAATACAGCCACCTACACCCAGGGTGGGGCACCTTTAATCCCAGCATTATACCTTTAACCTCAGCCCCATAGCCTTAGTCCCACTTCCACATATCTAATTCCTGTCATGATCTGCTCAGGGAGCAGGGTCCTGAGAGGGGATAGCAGGAGATTAAGAAAAAACTATAGATACATACTAAAAGGAAAGCTGTGACCACATGGGATCTGACCTTTCTGGTGGAGAGGCGGTGACAATGTCCCAGCCCCAATATCTTTATTTATACAAAGTTAAAAGAAAAAAAAAAAGGAAAAAGGCTCATGATGGGATCCAGAGTGCAAGGTCTCAGTGTTTTCTAAGAACTCTGAAAGCAAAACATTCTTAAAGCTCTCTGCACTGTAGTTAATAAGGAAGAACACCAAGGCCAGACACCTGTTGATGTACAACGGAGCTAGAGTTCAACTTGTTTCCACAGTCTGCCTCTGGCATTACATGTCCTTGGGATTGGCTTTGCTCTAGTGTCCGGGAGTTTGCCAACCTCAGGCTCAGCTGCAGTTCAACTGCTCCCCCAGAATTCCAGCACTACACACTCTAGATCCAGCCACCTCAAAAAACTCCCACCAATAACAGCATAAATCTTTGAGGGGACATCTGGACACAAGCCATAGCAGTGGGTAATGGGTAGATGGTTATAGGCAAAATACATTACACATATCCATCCCCCCAAAAAGACGCAACACTAGAGTGTATGGGGGATGATGGTTGGTGAAAAAATGACAGTAAAGTAC